GCTGCTGTGTGCGCGTGCGCCTGGGCCCCTGCTGTCCTCCGGCCAGGCGGCCCCGGGGAACTGGTGGGACAGAAGGTGCTCGGGCCCTAAGACAATGGCGGAGCGTGAAATTCAATTAGTTCAGGGCCTGGTTCCAATTTCACAGCCCCTAAATGCAAAAGGGCAGAACAGAATGGGAGGGTGGGGGAGAGCGTTTTTATTGCACTTTTCCTTTCATTCTGGGGGGCTTTCTCGCCCCTTCTCTCCCCCCAGCAGGCCTCAACCTGCGCAGGGCTTGGAAGGAGTCATTTGAACTCTATATCTGTCACATGTGTTCAAGGCGTTGCGGGCAGAGGAGAGGGCGGGGTGGCGGGCGCCTCGGAGGAGCCCGGAGTTCACAGCCCTGTCCCCTCCTGCCCCAGGGGTCCCCGTGAAGGTCACCAACGTTGGAGATGGCACCGTCCACAGCACCGCCTTGGAGCTCTTCCTGTACCTGAATGAAGTCGCGTGAGTGTCCATAGCCGCCTCGTCCGAGGCACAGCGAGGCTCAGGGCCCGAGGTGGACAGGCTGTGTCCTTGCCCCAGCCACAGGGCGTCCTAGGCCCTGCTGTTTAACAGGAGAGTCCTCGAGGTCCCTTTTTAGACTCCTCAGGCCACATAGGTAACAACCCAGGGGTCTGCTGCTCGACGGGGTTCCAGGTCTCCCAGGCCCAGACCTGGTCAGGGACCTGGGCAAAATACAAGATGATCCCAGGCAGGCCCAGGTCAGAGAGAATCAAAGAAGCAAGTTGAACCCCGAGGGACCCAGGCAATCCTCTCTCCTTCTGGGCCTCAGTTTACCCAGCTGTCCAAGGGGCACGTGGATTGGGAGACCTCGCTCAGGCGTCTTGCAGCCTGACATGGCCTCTGACGCCAGGCTTTGCGCCAGCGCCTTGACCACATGACCCTCTTCCCGCAGGGGCAAGCACGGCGTGGGCCGCATCGACATCGTGGAGAACCGCTTCATTGGGATGAAGTCCCGAGGTGAGTGGGCCCCCGCGACCTGGGAGCCATGGCCCTTGGCGCCGCCTCAGGGAGGTGGGAGAGGAACATCGCAGAGGGACCGGAGGTCAGGCGCTCTTGTGTCCTGGGCGGGCAGTGGGGTCTGGGGCCCGCCGACCGTGCAGGGCCGATTTCGTGGTCGTTAAGGCTGCGTCTCTCAGGCCGGGAAGGCAGGGCGGACCCTTGCCGCGGGAGGTCGCTGTGAGAGCCATGGCCCTTGGCGCCGCCTCAGGGAGGTGGGAGAGGAACATCGCAGAGGGACCGGAGGTCAGGCGCTCTTGTGTCCTGGGCGGGCAGTGGGGTCTGGGGCCCGCCGACCGTGCAGGGCCGATTTCGTGGTCGTTAAGGCTGCGTCTCTCAGGCCGGGAAGGCAGGGCGGACCCTTGCCGCGGGAGGTCGCTGTGAGCTGTGAAGGGACCTGCCATTCCTGCGTCACAGCTGCCTGTCTGGGACTCGGTTTCCCCATTTATCCCACAAGCTCTCGTGCCTGAGAAGCTGCCAGTGTCGCGGGGCCTCACGGGGGAGGAGGGTCCCAGCCGCCACAGCCCCTGCGTAGCTTAGGACGAGCTGGAAAAGATAACACCAGCAAAAACAAAACAGGCCAAGCCCTCCCCGAGGCTCTCGTCCTTCTGGATATTTTTTCTGGGCCCCAAAATCCTGAGAGCTGATGGCCGCAGTTGGGCCTTCAGAAAGGGGCAGGCTTGGGAGGCTGATGTCCAGGGCCCTTGGGCCAGGTTTGTCCTGCCCGACCTAGGGACCTCAGTTTCCCCACTCATTACATAGTAAGCCTGGGGCAGGGGGTTGGATCATTCCGGCTCTAACCTGTTTGATTTTCTCATCAAAGGTGTGGGGTGAGGGAGTAGGAAACCACTTTGCCTCTTTACTGGGGTTTTTCCTCCTCCCCTTGCTGTTACCCAGGAGAAACAGCCCAATTGAAAGTCTCTTGGGAAGGCCTTGTGCAGAACAATGGTGCTAATTAGCTGTTGCCTTTTACCCTACCTTACTTTGTCTCTCACCTATTTAACATCTGATTAAATGTGGCTTCATCTCCACCTGCCCTTGGGAGCCAGCACAATGGGCAGGACCTTGGGAAGCCAGAGACCAGCTCCTCAGCATACAGAAGGGGAAACCAAAGTTCTGGGAGGGGAGAGGGCTCGTTCCACATCCCAGGACTGATGCCCCTGCCCAGGGAGGCTTGGGGAAGCAGGCTTAAGAGCTTGGAAGAAGACAGACCCAGGTTCAAACTCCCAGAAAATAGCAGGAACAGATGCAACAGTGGTGCTCCATGAATGAAAGCCAGTTCTCAGGCATTGCTGGGTGAGCAGAAAGGCATCAAGGCCCTCTGGGGGCAGCCATTGTGGCTTGGGGTGTTCAGTACAATACCTTTCATCATGCCTTCCTGTGCCCCTGGCAGACATCACTAGTTGATTGCTGCACTGTTCTGTGGCCTGCTGGGGCAGCTGGCTGGCAGGCACGGTGAGCTGATCAGGATTGCTGCCTGTGGGGAGGAGGCTGGGAAGACGGGCTGGCCTGAGGTCACCAAGATGGCAGCCGAGGTGGTGGTGAAGAGCCGCGCTATTCTGGGGAGCCGTCCTGGAGGAGGAGGCTTCCACTCATTCCTTGTGGAATGGGCACCTGGGGCTGAGAAGGGCAGGAGGCCCCCCAGGTGTCTTGATGGGGCTATGCCCTTAGAGGCCCAGGAAGAGCTGGTGTTGAGGGTCCTGGCTTGGGTGTCTGACTTGAGCCTCAGTTTCTCCGTCTGTGGAAGTGCTCCGAGGTGCTGGGCTTCATGGTGGACTCAGTTCCTTTACTCACACTGGGTATAAGGGAGCAAGAGCCATGAGATCAGTAATGGTTTGTCCTATGCGCTGGGCTTCCTGCCACTCACACAGGAAAAGGTCCCTGGGGCACTCACTGTCCTACTCTGCCTGGATGTTGTGTGTGAACCTCTGAGGAGGTGGGTGTCCCCCAAGATTCAGAATTTAATCGGGCAGGTCTACAACTCTCCTTTGAAGGAAGTCAGGATTCTGACTCCAAGAAGTTGCTGGGTGACCTTAGACAAGGTGCTCTCCCTCTCTGAGATTCTGACTTTCAAAGGAAGACCTTGATCAGGAGAACTCATCATCCCCCACCCCCAGAAGTTCAACTTGCCTATTTTCTTGCTTGGTAATTTTAGAGCGTATCCTGTTTTGACTTCTCCACTACAAATATTTCCCTGTCAGAAAGCAAGAGTGAGGGCACTGTGGACTCCCCCGTGGCGAGGTGTTCATTACGTGTACAGTAACGGGAGAAGCCGCTGATCTTGTTATGTTGAGGCTGGAGTCGGAGAAGCTATTGTCCATGCCTCGGTGTACCAGGGGAAGTGTCATTGGTATTGATTTTACAAAGCTTGTAATTGAAATTCGTTAAGGGTTGGTTTTTTTTCTGGGGGGTGGGTGGGCATCGCTAGACGGCTGGGTGTGGGCTGGCCTGGCTGGCAGGCACTCA